CATGGTTGCATTTTATTTCAATAATTCGCTTGCGCGTAGGGGTCTGAAGGAGTGGGGGGGAACCAGGACCCGGAGAAAACCCACGAGGTTGGACAGGCGATCCTACTCCTTGTCACGTGCAACCGGGGATTCGAAACCACGCCAGTTGACTCAATGACAGACCTTATGATACAGCGCGCACGCACTAACCCTTCGCCCCCCCCCCCCCCCCACAATAAGCCACATACATGTAGAGAAACTGACATAATGATGACATTTCAAACTATGTCTACGATCACGCCTGAACGTATATGAAAGGGACAGTATGTAAGATTAAAAAAAGAGCTGACAGTTTTTGCTATAATAGTTAAAAACTAGATACTGCAAGGGGGGTGTGGTGAAAATTACTGCCCAATGACTTCACTCTGAGTCGAGATATTGCCGTTAGAAGAACAACCTCAATTGTCATTGCTGCCGTTATTAAGACAATAAACAAGGTCCTGGGGCCTGTTCCACGAAAATTTAACTAAGATAAAATCCAAATTTTAGTAATTTGATTGGATAATATTAGATTGATTTTAGTGCTTAGCGAATCAAAATTGAAGTATATACTAAAATTTCGTGAAAAAGGCCTTGACTATTCATTTTTAAATCAAATTATTAAATAGCAGAACCGTTTTAATCTACTTAAAACCAGAGCCTTGTGGTCTTGTGATGATTATTGTCTAATTAATAGTTTATATAACAATTAAGGCCAAAAGAAAGACCTGCATCAGAAAGATGTAGCTTTTGTATAATGCTTGTTAAATGTGGCCACAATTATGACCCAACGTACAATATAATTGACACTTAAAAGGTACACGTAGGACGTTGAACCCATTTCATTCATTCATGCATTCATTCTAACAAATGGTGTATAAAAGGAGTAGTGACCTACATTGTATAAAGGCTACCCTGTAACAAATCAAAATGTAAACAAACGCAACACATTCGGTCTCTAAATCATTGACAGCAAAACACAAGAGAGAGATAGAGAGAGAGAGAGAGAGAGAGAGAGAGGGTAGCTCAACGCAAACTAGGTCATTTCGGGACTAACATATGGTTCAATTTTATTTTCAATCAATAGCTTGCGCGTATGGGGTCTTTAGCTGTGGGGGGAAACCTGAAGAAACCCACTAGGTTGGGCAGGTGACCCTATTCCTTGTCACCTACAAGCGGGGGATCGAAACCACGCCACTTGACTCAATGACAGACCTTACGCGGCAACGCACACGCGTTAACCATTCGGTCAGCCAACCCCCTACACATATACAAACGAAGTAGCATAAATAATATAACCTTAAAAGGTAAAACAAAAGGTAAACAGTAGGACCGTATTTAAATATTCAAACTGTAAACAAATGCCACGTATTCGTTCTATAAATAATAAACATCAAACGTGTAATAAAACGAAAAACCCTACCCTTAAAAATAAAACAAATTGTCAACAATTGATAGTGCCATCGTTCTACCGACTGGGATATTAAAGACGGGCATACGTCATACAGTGTGCTTTGAGGGACATTTTGTTCAGACAACGGCGCTACAGCCTACTCTTATTTCGAATTCCAACCAGGGGTGTTTTTCTCAATCAATCAATGTCATTTTGTAGATTCTGAAGCATATCTAGGGTAAAAAATAAAATCATATTTGCTATCTTAAAAAAACGTGCTCTGTTCGTGGTTGACTTTCCGTCCATTGAATTGAAAAAAATTGATCTTGAACGCGAAAGTAGTTAACAGATGATCGGATATCAGTCCAACGACAATCCGCTGAACATCCGTCCACTGATCGGGACGGGTTACCAATAGAAGCAAAAGCAGACCACCTACCGCACAAGGTTGTTGAAGTCCGTTCTAGTCCCGCTATGATAAAGAAAGACCTAACCACTCAAGAATGAGGAAGCATGGTGAAGCATTGTTACTATTACAAATTATAAATAACATTAACATACCGGGCCTACCCTGTTGTTGGAGAAAAAATAACTACATGGGCTGGATCCTATCCTCCAAAACAAACCTGATTCCAGCTGTCAAATGCTCTTTTACGTGCACGCCGCGGAGACCTAAATATATATATTTGCAAAATGTAAACAAAGGCAACGTTTTCTCTACATGTAAATGATTTCTGTCGGAGTGATTTAAGATAGAGAAAGTGGGTCTATATCAAAACGATTTATAAAAAAATCAAATCTTACCTGTAAAAGACAACATCTATAAACAAAGAACAGTTCGATCCAACGTGACCCAGTGTTACTACTACAATAAACTTGACAATACCTGTACAGGTATCTCATTTAACATTCACAAAGCTTAACACAGGTGATATAACCAGTCAACCGTGACTCATTATAGACACGGTTAACCAGACGGTAAAACAATCCAATTGCCTAGAGCTTGTCAATATAAATAATGCAGCTGTACAGAAGACTAAACTGGGTTAAATAAAATATTTTAATAGACACAGATGTTGAATGTAGTTATTTTCGAACTGTGTTCATCAATACAATATTTTTTAGTTACTATATTAACACCTCATCTGAACGGAATGGTGTCAGGAATGGATAAGCATACATTGCCACATGCACGACACTTTCCTCCAATGAATTGACATGGGGTTTAACGTCGTCCTACTGTTCTGCTCCGAACTGGGCTAATGAGACGGGCATACGCCATACAGTGTGCTATGAGGGAAATTTTGCCCGGATAGCAGCGCTACCGGCCTACTCTTATACTGAATTCAGTGTATTCTTGGAAAAATGGTTACATACCATGGCCAGTGTGTTTGCTTTGCGTACACACCATTGTCAGGGTTGGTGTACAGAGGCGGATTCAATGGGGGGCGCGAGGGGCCTGCGCCCCCCCCCCCTAATTTTCGACAGTGCCCTTTTTTACTGTTGAAAGTGCCTTTTCTCAGACTCAGATATGTCCGTTCCCAACCCGTTGTAGGGATCCCAAATGACTCAAACCATCGACTCAAACACACCAGTCTGAGAAATAGCTCTTGGAATGGCTACAGATGAAAGGAAATGACGGATAATTTTCTTGGGGCCCCCCCACCCCCCTCAGCGGCGTGCCCCGTCTCCGCGGTCAATGCCTTCATTTTGCAGCGCCCCCCCCTTTTCAAAATTCCTAGATCCGCCCCTGGTGTATTACATGTATATTTAATTGTCGGTCGGAGTTGGTGCTGTGCATTTCATTGTCAGTGTGGGTGCGTTACATTTCATTGCCAGGGTCCGGTTTCTTCCCAGTTTGTGTCGAGTTTGACGTTAAACCCCATCTCTCTCTCTCTCTCTCTCTCTCTCTCATTGTTAGAGTGGGTGCGTTAGTATTATTGTCAGAGTTCGTTACGGGTATGCATTTACATGTGATCATCAATCGTAAAAATGGCAACAATAGATATCGACGGACTAGTGCACCCGCGGACTAGTGCACATGCGAACTAGTAAACCCGCAGACTAGTGCACCCACGGACTAGTGGGTATTCCCCATATAATGCAGCTGTACAGGAGACTAAACTAGATTAAATAAAATATTTTAATCTGTTTATATTGTCATCAATAGACAGAGAGGTTGAATGTAATTACCTTGGAGCTATGGTCATGAGAGAGAAAGAGAGAGAGAGAGAGGGGTTGAATGTAATTACCTTGGAGCTGTGGTCAATACAATTTTTCTTTTTAGACATTATATCAACACCTTATCTGGACAGCAGTGTCAAGAATAATAAGCATACACTGTCACAAGCACGACACTTTCCTGTAAGGAGTTTTATTACAGATAAGTGTGCAGTGAAAGGTGGGTTTAATGCATGTCGAGAGTTAATCTCGTTTTGAGATCATCCATACAACTAGATACTTTCTGGACTAACACATGGTTAAACTTTATTTCAATAATTCACCTGCATTCAGGGGTCTTTAGCAGTGGAAGGAAACTAGAGAAAACCCACGAGGTTGGACAGGCGACCTTACTCCTTGTCATGTACAAGCGGGTAATCAAAACTACTCCACTTGACTCAATGACAGACCTTATGATGCAACATTGACGGGTTAAGCATTTGGTCACCCAACCCAGTGAAGTCAAGCATACACCATAGAGTGTGCAATGAGAGAATAGGGGTATACACCATGCATTGCGTTATAAATGAAACTGACGTGCCACCAACACCAATGGTACATGAAGGGACCGAGGTTTTTTTCATTCCACCCAAACTAGACATCTCGATTTAATGTCCCATTTGTCTGTGCCAACTGGGTTAAGGAAGACGAACATACGCCATGTAGTGGGCTGTGAGAGGAATTTTGCCCTGACAGCTGCTCTATGGCCTACTTTTACTTCAAATTCCAATTGTTAAGTGTTCTTTATGTGCACGCCAACGTCAGGTTTTCGTCCTATCTGAACAATTAGGTGTTGTACCTTGTCAGGTACTGTGTTCTGGTCAAAGATCACGAGATGTAAACAGGGCTAGCACTAATCCCAACCCAAACCCTGGACCTAGCCCCAATGCTTACTCTAAGACTAACCTACAATCTTGCCAGCAATCACATGCCCTATGCTTATTTACATCTCAGCGGCCTTAACAAATAGATTTGGTCCTCAGTCCTGCACCACCGACAAGGGGACATGACTCTGTCCTGCACCATTTGGCAAGGGGACATGACTCTGTCCTGCACCATTGATAAGGGGACATCAATTTTATTTCAATAATTCGGTTGCGCGTTGGGGTCTTTAGCAGTGGGAGGAAACTGGAGGACCTGGAGAAAACCGACGAGGTTGGACTGACAAAGGGGAAACCAGACTGGAAAACCACTAGCAACTTTCTCATCCAACAACAGGACATCCGGATTACTGAACCAGGGTCGCACCCACCTAACCACAAAAATGCTCATCCAACACCAGGACTTCCTGATTAGCAAGTCAGGGTCTTACTCACCGAACTACTAATATGTGGACTATTTAAAAATACAAATAGAAAAACAATTCTATTAATATAATAATACTTTATTTTTTTAGAACAATTAAATGATAAAGGGATGAAAGTGGAACAAAAATAAAGAACAAATGCAGACTTGCATCATGAAACAAAATGTAATATTTTTTTTTTTTACAAATAGCACTAATTTACAAATCATCTTCAATATGTGTTGATGAGATGAGTTTCATTCATTCAAGTTATCAGAAGTGAACACACTCCACATACAAACTGTATTTTCATTCATAAAGACCAGTGTTATTAGTTATCAGAATGAACACACTGAAATTACCCACACATAATGTTATTAGCTGTACGCTTACACATTTTCAAGTTGTAAGAAGTTAACACACTCAAATATACAGGCAAAACACAAACTGTATTTTTATTTTTAATCTTATTAGCATAACCCTTATGTAATCTTATTAGTATAACCCCATATGTAATCTTACTAGTATAAACCTTGTGACCATTGACGAAAGATTGAACTCATAACTTGTCCTGCATACTTCCAGCACCCTCTCATTTGATTAAGTGCCTTTTAACAATCAAAACACACGCCCACATTCACAAACAATTATAAAAATATAACCTAATTTGTATCTAAATCTTAAATGTATAATTTTGATATTCTAATGAAGGATATTGACACTCCTACGTTTCCTGTTGTGTAGCACTGATAGTCACAACTTTCCTCCACACAGTTCAGTCTCATATAATATTATATATGTAATAAAATAGGAATCAATCATATTTTGATAAATATTACTTCACAATAATAAAAAAAAAAAAACCTACAACAATGTCAAATGAAGCAGGACTGGGGGCCTTAACCTTAAAAGTCACACTTATGAAATTTTGAATCCATCATACTTAAACATTTCCTGACCAGTTGTCAGTATTCATATATTAAAACTAAAATATTTGACATTTAATAATTACGCATTAGCTTTGAAAAAAGATATTTAACTTTCAACTTCAGCTAAAATTAAAGTGGTTGAAATGGATGTCAGTATTAATATTTTAAAACTAAAATATTTGACATTTAATAATTACGCATTAGCTTAAATGGCTGTCAGGGTTTCTGCACACAGTAAACAAAATAACTTTGTGATTGCCTAATCAATTTCTAACATTAATAGTACAGACAGTAATAAATATTCTTTTGAAATGTACTAGGAAATTAGCTTGCTTCCGACATTATAAAAATAGAGAGAGAGAGAAATGGGGTTTAACGTCCACTCGACACAACTAGGTCATTTCGGGACTAACATATGGTTTTAATTTTATTTCAATAATTCGCTTGCGCATAGCAGTCTTTAGCAGTGGGAGGAAACCGGAGGACCCGGAGAAAACCCACGAGGTTGGAGTTATAAAAATAAGTAATATATCATTTATTGTAGATCAAAGATCAAACTGAAAATAGAACCATATCAGTCTTAAGGAACTATCAAGGGGTAGTTTAGAATTCCCTACATGGAGGTAACTTATAGTCTGTATCATATACATAATATAATAATATGGTATACGTGAAATAAATGTAAATTATATAAATATTGATAAAATGACAACCATTTTGAGGTGTACCGAGATTACTTCCCATTTGATAATGCCCACATGGAAAATATCATTTACAAAAATAGCCCTCTATACTAATACACACAATCTGATTGGTCAATAAGTTCTTGTATACTAATACACACAATCTGATTGGTCAGCAAGTTCCTGTATACTAATACACACAATCTGATTGGTTGACAAGATCATGTAATCTGATGTCCGATGTTCATGTAGAACTAAGGAACGCATCTGATGTCGGAGGGCTTTATACTGGCCAGTTAATTGTCGGTTGGAAGGAACAAATGAAATGGGGTTTAACTGCCTGCGTTTCAGCACTAACTGGGCAATGAAGACAGGCCACATATTCCCTGCAGTGTGCTATGAGCAAAATTTTGCCCGGATAATGTCATCTTCTGGCAACCCTTTATTGAATTTAAACAAAAAAAGGGTTCTTTTAAGTGCACACAACGTTTTTTCATTTCAGTCAGTTAAAGAGCATCAATTTATATTTTTAATATTTAAACAATAATTACAAATATTTGCACAAAGCACTATACATGTTAGATGTACCGATTTATAAGATGAAGAAATTTGGTTCAAGGACTTTTCAGTATAATGCATCAATTTTATGGAATTCGCTACCACCTTCCATTCGAAAATGTGAAACACTGTCTATCTTCAAATCAAGTGTGAAAACCTGGCTGTTTAGTCACTATAATTAACCCACATGAACACTTTCATGCGCCTAGAGCATCCCCAAGTGGGATGAATTGTTGCGCAATATAAATTTCGTTATTATTATTATTATCATTATTTATATTCTTGTATATCTTCCCTCTCAAAATTTTTATGGATAATGGTTTATTTATTTCTTATCATTTTTATACAAATAATCGTTTATTTATAGAGATAATGGGTTTCTTTCATCATAAATTCCATTGGTGATTTTAACTGCTGCCAAAGACAAATATTTTTGTTTAGTTAATAGTTCTACCATAAATTATTACCAAACCCAATTCTCACATTTGGGTCAAATATTCCAGACTATGCAATGCAAAATATTCTTATTTCTTATATGATTTAATTAATGTTGCTGATTTCAGTAATTTTGAATTCTTTGTAAACTACCGGTTAGTCTTAAAATTAAGGTCAACTGCAGATCTGGTTGAAGGTCACAAGATTTAAACAGGTCCAGCACTAATCCTAGTCCTATCCCACAATCACATGCCCTAACCCTGTTTACATCTCGCAACATTGACGAAATCTACAGTTGCCTCTAATTTTTAGGCTTTACCATTCACAATTTGAGGACATTTCTCAGTGGATTAAGTCATGAAAAATTACGTACTGTTCAAAAAACACAAATGCAGGTCAGCGACTTAAAAATAACATTACCAAATAATCAGGGCTTTTCTATTTCGGCGGATTTGGAATTCCTGGACAAAAAGCATCAAATACATAATTTAAATTTAACATACTTTTTATCATTCGAAGGTAAAAATAATAAATAATATTGAGACACAATATAATTTCTAATGTACCATTTTACAACATAACCAATCTTTAGTTTCTTTATAACTAAATTAAAAAATAGAAGTTGCTATGACAACTGTACAATATCAACGACTTGATGTTATAACTAAATTAAAGAATAGAAGTTGGTATGACAACTGTACAATATCAATGACTTGATGTTATTCTGTATATGATTGGATTTGTCTACTTTACGATCGAAAAGTTGGCATTGGAGCTCAAAAACTGAACTCAAACCAAAATGAAAGATTATCGTTTCTCGTTACGATGTGAATATCACAACATTTGCTACGACTCACTTTCAGCGCTAACATTGTTTATCCCAGATTCCTCAGATTTATTGTCCTTCTCTTCACTTTCTACATCTTTTTCTTGATCGTTTTGACTATTTATGGAATCATTGTCGGCTACTTCTATTTTATCGTTTTTATCCTCAAGTTTCCCTACAACAGCGCCGTCATGTAAATCAGACACAGTTTTATTGTCCTCGGGTTCAATATGATCCGTATCAACTTTCTTTGTTTCATTTTCTGTCTTTTCAGTTTCACTCAACTGATCCGTCTCTTTCTCTGTCTTTGTCACACTTTCATCTGTTACTCCATCTTGTTTAGTCTCATCCTGGTTGTTTAAAGCCTCTGTATGGATTTGACTATCATCATCACTTCCTGTATTTTTAGAATCTGTGGGTGTATCACGTTCAAACTCCACTGCAGATCTCTCAGCTGAAAATCAAACAGAAATGAAATGAGGTTTAACGTCCTACTGTTCTGCTCCGACTGGGCTAATGGGAGAGAGAGAAATGGGGTTTAACGTCCACTTGACACAAACAAGGTCATTTCGAGCCTAACATATGGTTTAATTTTATTTCAATAATTCGCTTGAGGGTAGGGGCCTTTAGCAGTAGGAGAAAACCGGCTGGGCTAATGAAGATGGGCATACGCCATACACTGTGCTATGAGGGGAATTTTGCCCAGGCAGCAGTACTATGGCCTACTCTTATATTGAATTCCTACTGCCAAGGGATCTTTTATGTGTACGCCAATGTATACACAGGACCTCGGTTTTTCATACCATCCGAACGACTAAACAGCTGTGGCATTTTATATGTTCCGAACACATCATGAAATTCATGTCTGTCAAAAAAATTTAACGTTCCAAAAGCTATACATTAACCCTTCTAATCAGCTTTCGGAACGTTATATTTCAACAATGTTATAGTAAATTTACCTGAGCTTATTTCTATTGGTTTTAGTTATAATTTACTTATATCTAATGGTTTTAGTTATTTTAATTTACCTGTACTTAATTCTAGAGGTTTGGATTAATTTACCTGTACTTATTACTGGTTTGAGTTAATTTACCTGTAATTAATTCTAGAGGTTTGAATTAATTTACCTGTACTTATTACTGGTTTGAGTTAATTTACCTGTACTTAATTCTAGAGGTTTGAATTAATTTACCTGTACTTATTACTGGTTTGAGTTAATTTACCTGTACCTAATTCTAGAGGTTTGAATTAATTTACCTTTACTTATATCTAGATTGAGTTCTGTTGTTTCATCCAATAAACAAATAGAATGACCAGTTGTATTCATAGTAGCACATGTATCATCAAATCCTTCACCTAGAAAATAAAACATGAAATTTATACTGGATGATATCATGCCTGGATTTGAAACTGGACATTCTAGAAATCGGAGAGAGAGAGAAATGGGGTTAAACTAGGTTATTTCGGGACTAACATATGGTTCAATTTTCTTTCAGTAATATGCTTGTGCGTAGGAATCTTTAGCAGTAGGGGGAAACCGGAGCACCCGGAGAAAACCCATGAGGTTGGTCAGACGACCCTACTCCTTGTTGCGTACAGCCGTGGAATCGAAACCACAGACCTTATCTTATGATACAACCTGCACGTGCTAACCATTCAGCCATTCCCCTCCCCCCACCCCCCAAGAAATCAGTAACTAGGATAAAGGAGTAAATAAATCAAGAAATTAGCAAAGAAAGATAACCAGAGTTTCACAAAGAGTTATGTCCCCTGATCTATTGAAAGATTAATTGGTCTCAAGTTTGGGCAATAACCGGAAGAAAATGTGAGATTCTCCTTGAAATCCATGGGTATCAATCCCCAAATAACGAACTGGAGTTGAAAACAAAAGTGGTTTAATGCCTGGAACAATGCAGGCAAGGTAGAATGTCAGTGCTACAGTTAGGGCAAAAATGAAATGGTCCTTCAAAAAAAAATCTAAAGATAGTAATTCTCCAGGTACCAATGTCGTCATATTCAGAAGTCAAATTTTTTTTGATCACAAATCCAACAAAATTAAATGGGGGTAGAACGTCGTCTTCCTGTTCTGCTCCAACTGTGCGTATGAAGATGGACATACGCCATACAGTGTGTGATAAGGGATATTTTACAACCACAGCAGTACTACAACCTACTCTTATATCGAATTTCAACTGTCAAGGGTTCTTTTACATGCACGGCAATGTGTACACGCGATCTTGCACCATTGACAAAGGGGATACAGTACACGGCTGAAACATAAATCACATGAACTACTCACCTAACTCTTCTCCTTCAGTCTCCCCAATAGAATTTTCTCTTAAGAATGAAACATTTTGAAATGATTCTTCTGAAAAATTATTTTTTGAAAAATTAATACGGTTGTTTAAAGAATTATGGGTAACTGTAATCAAATTTTGCTCTGCGGGGTACCGGACTGACGGATTGAATGTTCTGGAACTTTACATCAGTGATTTGTGCAACTAATGTCGATCAATGATTACACAAGTGCAATGGCAGAATTTTGGAAGGTCCGATGCTTTTCTTTATCTACCCTACTCCAAATGCCTTTGCGTTTTTCTACATGCATGTCTACACGTGTATACGCGTGGATCTTCCAAGATTTTACCCGTCAGTAAAACATGAACCATCCTTGAAAACTGAGAAACAAGCATCATAATTCCAGCAAGATCTTCTTGGCACACATTTGGAATGGCTACGCACAATACAAACATGGTAACCTTTATTTCTAGTGTTACTATACATTGAGAGAATTGTATATCCCTGTATTCTGGGCATCATTTAATTCTGTGTATTTAGCACTAATTTCTTTCACAATAGTTTAATAACAAATCTTGGTTTAAAAATTCGTAAAAATCGAATAAAAAACCTGCAAATCTTCTTATTTATCTAAAAGTCAACTTACAGTTAAAATTTCCCAGCTGATTTTACTCCAAAATTTAAAACATTTTTCTTGGAATCCTTTTTTTTTCCACAATTTTTGACTGTCGTATTGAGCAAGAGAGAGAAATGGAGTTTAACATCCACTTGACACAAACTAGGTCATTTGGGGACTAACATATTATGGTTCAATTTTATTTCAATAATTCGCTTGCGCATAGGGGTATTTAGCAGTGGGAGGAAACCGGAGGACCCAAAGAAAACCCAAGAGGTTGGATAGACCCTACTCATGTACAACCAGGGAATCAAAACCACGCCAGTTGACTCAATGACAGACCTTATGATACAGCACGCACATGCTAACCATTCGGTGATTGAACCCCCCATCTACCATATAACTTACCAAGTTCGCCAGTTGACTCAATGACAGGCCTTATGATACAACTCGCACACACTAACAATTCGGTGATTGACCCCCCCCCCCATCTATCATGTAACTTACCAAGTTCGCCCATTCTTGCCGTATCATTTAACGTTCCTTCCATCTGTATCTGAATCTCCAGCTGTGATGCGGGAATGACCTTCGCAAAACCAAGATCAACCAGTTGCCGATTGAGAATAACTGTATCAATATCTGAAGCGTCTGATAAGGAAACCTCGTAGTATCCATCATCAGATATAGTGGACAGATAAGCAGCCATCATCTTCCCATTAATATATTCTGAAAAACAAGATGTAAGGATTCTACATCACACGGTCAGAAGATATAAATGGGGGATCGTAGCACAATTTCAGCACTTGCGTCCAAAAGAATGAAGAACAGGAACTTGTAGGGGGGGGGGGGGGTTGAATGATAGAAGATCATAAATGAGGGACCGTAGCAAAAGAATGAACAATAGTATAGAAAGAAATCGGTTTAACGTCCACTCGACACAAACTAGGTCATTTTTGGACTAACACATGGTTCAACACAGTGGGAGGAAACTGGAGCACCCAGAGAAAACCCACAAGGTTGGACAGGCGACCCTACTCCTTGTCATGTACAACCGGGGAGTCGAAAACACGCTAGTTGACTCAATGACAGACCTTGTGATACAGCACGCGCACGCTAACCATTCGGCCATCCAATTCCACCTGAACAACAAACAGGAACTTGTAGGGTGGGTGGAACGATACATGTAGCGACACTCTCCTGGTCTCTTTGTCAGCCTTCTAGATTCTAGTCATGACAAGTGGGAACTATCTGTGAAAAATCTCGTGATTTCTTCCCAGTCTACCAAGACAAAAATAAATATAAAATCAATGGACCTCAACAACAAAGTTCCAAGTTATTTAACGGTTTAATTTGTAAAACATATTAGTTCGAAGACCCCCAAGATTAGTACTAGCATTTGGGTTTATAAATTTTCACCTTTAAAATGTTTTATGGCATCATCAGACCAATTGTCATTAACTGGCGTCACCTCGGACAGACGGAAATTTATAATTTTAGCAGGTGTCAACAGGAACTCCTTATTTATAGCAGCAACGATATCAACTTCTACTTCCTCACCTACGTCAACCAGATATACCTGAAATTTGTTTAAAATTTGCTTTTAATAATACCTTAGAATAAAAATCTAAAATGAATACAGTATCTCCTATTTACATGTACCGGTATAACACAGATTACTTAAAGCGATAATTCATATTTTCTAAGAAAGTCAAAACATAATTATTTCTATGTCTTTTGCTCAATAGGTTATCAACTCACTATTATACGACCATGGGCATTATTTCCCACCCTTAAAAATCATTGACACAGGAAATAATTACACAATTACCTCCCTTGTTTTCCTATTGCCTCCATGCATTAGCTACCTTCAAACGTTGGAATTTGAAGTTGAAAATGATATTTTTGCCAATTTATCAGGTGGCAATAGTGAATTATACTAAAATGAAATGAAATGAAATGGGGTTTAACGTCCTACTGTTTTGCTCCGAACTGGGCTAATGAAGACGGGCATACGCCATACAGTGTGCTATGAGGGAAATTTTGCCCGGACAGCGGCACTACGGCCTACTCTTATATCGAATTCCAACTGTCAAGGGATCTTTTACGTGCACGCCAACGTGTACACGGGACCTCGGTTTTCCGTCTCATCCGAATGACTAGACAGCTGTCCTTGCCAGGCCCTCCGTCCTGCATCACTGACAAGGGGGAACCACGCCGGAAAATCTGGATGAACTTTCTCGGCCAATGCAGGGATCGAACACCCAACCTCCAGGCTAGCGAGCCAGCGCCTTACCCACTTAGCCACGTGATCCCCAGTGAATTATACTAATTATAGGATTATTCTTTAACAAGGTTTATAGATACCTTCTATTATAAGGCTTTATTTTAATAAATTTTAAAGATATAACTTAAAAATATAACTTAAAAATATGAAATTGTAGCTTTAAGAGGCATGGAATCTTTAACCTGCAAAAGGGTGAGACGATTTACCCAATACCACCACATACTACCCAATACTACAACATAATGATGCAAAATAGAAATATCGTTTGATTTTTTTTCAAAAATAGAGACTTATATCGCGGGAAATGTACTTCAAATGTGATACCGAAATCTGGCTGTTCCATTTGCCTCCCTCTACCACTCCAAAAAAGCCAATAATAACCCAATACTACCAAATACTCATCAAATACTACCAAATACTACCCAATATGATCAAATAACAACCTAATATTGTCAAATAACAGCAAATTAGTATAATTACTGCAACGAATATTTGATATTTTGCAGAAAATTGAAATTTTTACAGTTATCTCCCTTTAGATTTTAGATTGCTGCATTGATTAATCATTTTCTTTGCCTTTGCAATTGGTTTCGAAGACGACAAACTTAAAATAAGAAAAACAAGTATGACGATATACCATATTTTATTCCCATAATGACCCATCTGTCTCTTACCACTTGATAAGGTCGTCTGTCAAACAAGGTGGGTTTTCTCTGGTCCCCCGGTTTCATCTCACTGTTAAACATCCCTTCCCGCAAGCGAGTTAATGAAATATTGAAATATATGTTAGTCCCGAAATTACCTAGTTAGTATGGATTGTTTGTATCTATTTTAAAATTAATGCTTTAACAAAACAATTGCATAATGTTTATATTCATTTTTCCATGTCAACTATTAAGTTATTGCGTATTTACTGACGGCACGATGTTTTATTTTAAAATTAACGAAATTGCACATGTTTCTTTCCAGTGTGTAATTCTCGACGCGACACATCTCAGTTCATCAAAACTATCATTTGCGGCCTGTTACAGCTCTGTCGGTTTCTTTGATAATATAAATAAAACAGAACTTGATTATCCAATCAACAATCTTAACCCCGTTGAATAATTGCTAAGTCAGGTTGAATGTATATACGAGTAGAGCATTACACATTGTGGGGGGAAACTGGAGACCGTGTCTATTCATTTAGGTGATAATGACATCGCCGCGACATCGTCACCTGTAGGTATATACCGTAGAATACTTAGAATTTGTTCAATAGTGACAATATTCGAAGAATCGGTGAAATTTTGACAAGAGGGTTTTTTTTTCAAAGGCGCCTGGTATGGAACCGGAATCATTTTATAGACAAAGAAGATGTCACCTCGGTGGAAGCAGACGTAAAATACAATTAACTAACAACAGACAGATATAAAGATCAATTCGTGTGCTTTCCTGACATATTATACCCAAATAATTATTTACAGGTCCGAGTGAACTTGTAGACAGCGTGTTATCATACTAAAATCACCAGGATGAAGAAATAATTATAGTACAAGAAGACTTTTGAATAGATCACGAGACCGTTAAATGAACAGTTTCTAAATCAACCTCTAAAATACTCTTTTATTTGGATGTTTAGCTATTTATTTTGTAACACTATAGCGGAGGCATCTATAATAACCTGTTTTCCTTATTTTAACTTCGTCGTCTAGGAAACAAACTGCAAAGCCCAACAAGATGATTAATTTGAGTAGCAATCTAAATTCTATTTGTCAGTTGTAAAGGGAGATAACTGCGTAAATATTTCAATTTTCTGTAAATTATTGAATATTGGTTGCAGTAATTATACTAATGTGCTGTTATTTGACAATATTAGGTTGTTATTTGATCATAATGGGTAGTATTTGGTAGTATTTGATGATTATTTGGTAGTACTGGGTTATTATTGTTTTTTTTAAGGTGGTAGAGGGAGGCAAATGGAACAGCCAGATATCGATATCGCATTTGAAGTACATTTCCCGCGATATAACTCTCTATTTTTGAAAAAAATCAAACAATATTTCTATTTTGCATCATTATTTTGTAGTATTGGATAGTATGTTGAGATATTGAGGTGGTATTGGGGTGGTATTGGGTAGTATTGGGTAGTATTGGGTAAATCGTCCCGCCGCCTGCAAAAAGGTTTTAACTTTTTTTTATCTTGTGGGATTTTGAACGATATGTTTTTTATTTTGCTTTTAAGACGGCGGAATTTTAAAAATAATTTTGAGTACGAGTAAGATAACACGAATAAAATATTCATTCTTGTGGCAGACAAAATGTTTTCTAGAGCAGGTATACAATATTTGTAGACACGGTGAGAGATCACAGCATTGGTCAATTGCTGTATTTGGCTAGGGAGGTCCAGTATTCGTTCCTGGAGGGCCTGGAAAGTCGTACAGATGGGACAAAAAAAACCCCCAAAAAACGAGGTCCCATGAAAACATTAGTATGCATGTAAAAGAACCCTTGCCGGTTAAAATTAGATATAAGAATAGGTCGTAGCACAGTGTGTACCCCATTTCACTTCATTTGGTGAATTTTAACAATAAAATCGTTTTTGAGGTTTTATGATTATCTGCGAGTAACACTATCTAGGAACACATACCAGTCATTTTTTTGAATAGTTTCTGAGAAACTGGATGACTAAAATTATACGTAGAAATCCAAGATGGCCGCCGTTTCCATAGCAACAGGTACCCCCAGGAAAATTTTTCGGCCGTTTTTGTAATATTCAATGGATGTGTTCTTAGATGTGTAAGAATGGTGACTTTACCTCAATTATTAAAAAAACTGAAATTTTCTACTGTCCACCCCCTTAAAGTAATAAATTCATATTAAAAATCTAATTACATGTACATACAATTGAAAATATAATGTATATACACAAAAAGATAATGTTGCCAGGCAATGATACAGCAGCTAAATTGTCTGAGCGGTTGATTGGGGGCATTTACAAGACAGTTTCATACAGATCAGATTATAATTTTGTCGTTCGAAGGTTTACATGGTTCTACAATTGAATTGATTTAAATCCTCATTCTTTCCCGACAGCACTCACCTTGATTTTATCACCATCTATTTTGGAAACTCGACCACGATTCCATTTTTCACCATATAACACTAAACATGGCCGACCCTCTTCTGGTGACCAATCAGAATCTTTCTCTTTACTTTCCATCTCCTTCGCAATCTTCTCAAATAGTGTTTCTAAGTTCTGCTTTTCGTACTCAACTAAATGTCCCTTGAAGTCATCCGGCAAAGCACCTTCCTGAATGATACTGATTTCATATTCAGTATCAAGTTCCAATTCAGGATCACAGAAATCATCCCATTCCTTTTCAGAATTTAACACGGAATCCTGGAGTTGCGAATCTTCCAATGATTCGTTGTTAATTCTTATTTCTGGTAAATCTAGTCCAAACTCCCCGATATCGTCGATTTCATCACTGGATAATTCTGTGTCATCCCCTATAGCCAAATCGGCATTAACTAAAGACTGTCCGATTGAGACTTGTTCATCGTATAGGTCTACGGATAATGCATTTGACATCTTTTTTCTAACAACTAAAACAAGTTCTTTATTGTCGACAAGTTCTTGAAATTTTAATCTCGCTTCCTGACTCCATTTGTTAGCAGGGGCAATAACTCTATGTAAACTACAACATACAGCTTGGCTCGGCAGCTGATAAAATGGTTTCTGAAGGTTTAAAAATTTGTGTTTTGTCACAACACTACAATGTCCGTAATCAACAAATCTAACCGTTAAGTCATCCTCATTTATTGCTTCTATCTTGGTGCGATAGAATTTTGAATCGGTCCAATCGGACGACTGGATAACCCCGATATCGCCTGTAGAAATATCATCAGGGTTGGCGATTTGGACATCTGCTTCTGAATAAGCCGTCTGCAGTTTCTCCATCTGTGTCTGTAACGCGTCTGCAGCAAAGGTCAGGTGACAGTAAAATTTTGAAGGACTTTCAATATGGCAGACGGACGCATGTATTTTCTCTCGATTGTGAAGTTCTGCAGAAATGCATCTAGAAATGGAAAAAAAATTTTTTTTTTATGTAAATGGGAAAAACAGACATGTTTCCTATTCATTTTTTGTTAGAATTAAAAATAGAATGAAATAGGGTTTAAAGTCTGCTAATGAAGACGGGCTTAGCCATACAGTGTGCTTTGACACAGAGAGAGAGAAAAATAGGGTTTAACGTCCACTTGGCACAAACCAGGTCATTTCGAGACTAACAAGGTTCAATTTTATTTCAATAATCGCTTGTGCGAAGGGGGCTTTAGCAGTGGGGGGAAACCGGAGGACCCGGAGAAAACCCACGAGATTGGACAGGTGACCATACTCCTTGTCACATACAACCGTGGAATCGAAACCACGCCAGTTGACTCAATGACAGACTTTTTGATACAACGCGCGCATGCTAAACATTCGGTCACCCCCCCTACTCAACCCCAGTGTCCCATCCGAACGACTAGACAGCTGGCCCTTGTCAGGCAATCCATCTTGCACCACTAACAACCTGGAAACCACGTCGCAAAGTCCTGATGAACTTTCTCGGCCAATGCAGGGATTGAACACGCGACCTCCAGTCTAGCGAGTCATGTAGCCACCGTGGCTCCTGTTAGATTTGTCTGGACACATAAACACTCAATATAATATATAAAATAGGCGCTGTTTTTTCTTTCATGTGAAATTCCTTTTGCTGAAATGTGCGAAAGCTTAATAAAAAGACTTGATCATTTTTGTTAAATAAAGACCAAATAATTTATTGCCACATCCACTTTAAAACCCAGGAATCGTCCCTTTCTGAAATGATCCCTTGGCTGAAACCAAGGAATTGTCGCTTTCTGAAATGATCCCATGGCTGTAACCAAGGAATTGTCGCTTTCTGAAATGGTCGAGGGGGGTAAAGAAACTTAGGAGATATCCCTTTCTAAAATGGTAACCAACTCAAGAGTTATTGACCAATGCTTTTCTAATGAAAGAAACCTACTTTAAGATTCTTTCATTTTCATCTTCTTCATCTAGAGCAGCATCAGCTCCATCTAAATCAGTCATCTTGAGTTTTTTAGCAGGAGACTGTGAGTCAGAGAAAACTCGTTTGATTTTTTTACTGATACAGACTGGTGTAGCTGCCAGTTTACCATGGTTTTTATCAATCAGCATCTGTGACACCGAAATCCCCATATGCATAACTTGTACCAAACAATTACCATTTTCACCAACTTTAATAATATCAGCAATCAAATTACTGAAAAATATATTCATAAGAATTTAATAGGTTGTTGTGTCAAATATCAGCAAACAAATTACTGAAAAATACATTTATAAGTAAAAGAATGTAGAAGAGAGAGAAATGAGGACTAACATACGATTCAATTTTATTTCAATAATTCGCTTGCGCGTAGGGGTCTTCAGCAGTGGAAGGAAACCGGAGGACCCGGAGTTAACCCACGAGGTTGGACAAGCCACCCTACTTCTTGTCACGTACAACAACCGTGGAGTTGAAACCACGCCAGTTGACTCAATGACAGACCTTATGATGTAGCGCACATGTGCTAACCAATCGGCCTTCCAACACCCCATCTAAGTTAGGAAGCAAGTGGACATTATTGGTTCATACCAGGATTTCAACTTGGGACATTGTAATCAAGAGACCACTAACCATACAGCTTGATTATGGAGTGTCTGTGATGACTTTTAAAAATTGAACTTCTTAACAAAGTTTTATGTGCCGATTGTAGTGACTTTTAATAACTGAAGCTTTTAGCTAAGTTTTATATAATGCTTGCGCTTTCATTTTAAGAACTTCATATTTCTTAAATTTCCGTGATTATATGTATAATTCATTTTTTTATTTTTTTTTATTATTTAACATAATGTAATACCGGCCCCAGAGCAGTAATTTTTACTGGAATGCAGGCGCTTTATAAATTCATTATATTATTATTATTATTATTACCTCGTTATGTTAATTAGTAGTATTTAAGGTTATTTATATTAATATTTGTGCCGGTCTGTTCAGTAACAGAGGCCTCGTGGCAATAGACTACCACTTCCGGAGTTATGCTACATGTACTTCCAGTTCACAGCTATATCCGTGCTACGCCGGGTCAAGTGTTAGTCCTAAATAACCAGTATTCAAAATAAATTACATTTAACTTCTTGGTGAGCGCAATAATGACTCTTACCACATTTTTTTAATAGGAAATAGGCCCCATGCGCCAATCCTCTTGGGGTGATGCTCTTCAAAAAAGGATAAGGCTCTGTCAGTCTAAGTAATATCGATATAAAACTTGGCATGCTTGTTCCTTTGACATTTGTGCTTCGATTAAAATATTTTGGATATGTCACAATTCCAAGATGGCGAAAATGATATCCCACCTTGTCCATAGTCCGCCAATGTTACTTGTTTTAATATGTTACAAATTTGTTTTGCCTTACACGAAAAAATGAAATAGGGTTTAACGTCCTAATGTTTCGTTCCTACTGGTATGATGAAGACGGACATACAGTGTGCTATGAGGGAAATTTTGCTCAGACAGCAGTGCTACGGCCTACTCTTATATCAAATTCCAACTTTCATGGGATCTTTTACGTGTATACCAATGTGTACATGGCACCTCGGTTTTCTGTATCATCCGAACGACTAGACACCCAGAAATAAACTTGTCTTACTTGTAAGCAGAAATTTTAACAAACTCTTCAATGGCTTGTTCACTCCATTCATCTGTTTTAGCATTAGGTTGAACTCCCGCTAAACAACACTCAACAGATTGGATTGGCAGATTCAAAAACTCAGGACATAATTTTCTAATATCTGTTAACAATACTGTTGCTAGGTTACCATGATCAACGAAAAACACTTCGCAACCTTCATCCGTAATTTTTTCAATTCGTCCTCGATGCCATAATTGATCATCCTGACAGTAGACAGCGATTGGTTGATGGATGGAAGGAGACGTCAGTTGTTCTTCGGTTTCAGGCAAACCATTATAATATTCCAGCATTTCATTCGTCAACTTGTCCAAGTTTTTGGTGGATTTTTCTGCCACGATGTAAAACTCACTGGGAGAGTAAGAGAAGCTGATTGAAACGGCTATCCGTGAACCTTCAACCAATTTTTCAACTTTATAGTCCACATCTGGCATACTTTTATCTGAAAAACATAAAATTAAGGGGCATTATGGAAGATTAGATAAAGAGCTGACAGTTCTTGCTATAATAGTTAAAAACTAGATAATGTAAAGGGAATATGCTTAAAATTTCAGTCAAATTGCTCCACTCTAATCTAAACTGAGATATTAGCATTTGAATTTAAGACATACATGTAGCCTCAATCATCATTACTAAAGTCGCAATTATCCATTTTTGTATTACATGTAAATCATCAATGAGCGTTGAGCAGCAAATCGGATTCAAATCCAGTGAAAATCAGACACATAAGATGGCACTGGGACATGTTAATAAATGTCTAATTAATAGTTTATATAACATTTCAGGCCTGAAGAAAGATCTGCAATAGGCAGATTTAGCTCTTGCATAATGTACATGTATGTTTAACAAATTTGAACTTTGACCTACATATTCAAGAAAATTCCTTGTAACAAAGATGGCTGTAACATGCATAGTACTTTAACCCATAAGTGCATAGCCATTTTTGTACCCAAACCCCTTTCGTGCATAATATAAGCCTAATTCCTGGCATTGCGACGGAAATTGGTGCTAAATACAAAAATGAGGAAAAAAGTATTTTCTGACAATGACAAACCCTACAAAGTATATATATTTAGAAAGAGTATAAAAAGGGCTTTCTGAATCTGTAAAGAAAATAAGGGAAATATTCTTTACATGAATGTAGGTGGAGGTAGAATTGACAACTTGAAATCAGGAAAAAAAAAAAAAAAAAAAAAAGTTCCCACTTCTGAGTGCAATAAAAAATATTTATTGATGCAGAATGTTACAAATGAAGTATGCTGCTTTCAGAGGCATCTCTTTGGTACACAATACCGAAATTTTTTTGAGAAAATATCCAATAACTTTACAACAGCAGCGGGAGGAAACTGGAAAAACCGAAGAAAACCCACGAGGTTAGACAGGCGACATCATCATCCGAATCACTACTACATTTTGTAGACTCATCAAACCATAGATTATGATCAAACACACTGAACTGCAGCACAAATATCTACGATTTCTACGTGAAGCAAAAAACTGGACAAAAAAACGCTATTTTGCGTAAAAAAACCCCACAAAAATACTCACTCTGTAGCGTAATCCAACTCACACAGTATTCCTTGGCAACTATGAATGGGATCCTGTACAAATCATGTCTTAAATCCGCGAAAAGTTACAGAAATTTTACTCAAAACATTGCCAAGACGGCCATGCTGGATTTAGACAATGGGGTCACAAGGGCATTTCCCGTGGAACCACCTTTAGCGCGGTAAATTCAAACTGTTAAAAACGATACGGGAAATTCCGTAGCCATGCAATTTAAGCCTTTGTTTACTCTACGGCGTAGGCTGTAGCCATGCACTTATGGGTTATAACAAGAAATCTTCTCTAATCATATTTAATGGGTTTCTTTGTCCTACTTTCCTGCATAGACCTGGCAGTGTGCTATGGAGGAAATTTTTTCCATTTTTTGTCCATCCTTTCTGCACCACCGACACAGGAAAATACAGAGGATGATTCTTGGCAAACACCTGGTTAGTTAGCCATACCCACCGAACCACCTTTAAACAATCAGATAGGAGTAGGGCGGGGTTTAGACTCTACCCAAGATATCATTTGATGATAGGACTACACCGGTCACACCTGTTGTTCCCATGGCAAAGTAATCAGGTACGTCAAAAATAATCTAAGCATTATGTATCTCGCATGCGACACCCATAACTAGTAAAATAACAAATAAGTTTAGAAATGTTGGGTTTTTCAAATTCTCACCATTTTCTGTCTTGTCAGCATCTTTCTTACCATCAACAGGCTGGAATTCTCCATTTTCTTCAATAATATCTTTATCTTTCTCTATGTCGATTTCTTTCATTTTTTCAGCCATCACATCTAAATAGGTGTCGCTCTCAGCACTGTTATTAGTATCCGTTTCTGTATCATGAGTTTCTGATGGCTGGCTACTTACACTTTCTGGTTGCTGGCTACTTTCGTTTTCTGATGGCTGGCTACTTTCGTTTTCTGATGGCTGGCTACCTTCGTTTTCTGATGGCTTGCTACTTTTGTTTTCTGATGGCTTGCTACTTTCGTTTTCCTCTAATTCAACCTCCGACGCTGTATTACAGACAGCTTGATCGGATTCAACAGCCTCCGGGTCAACTTTTCCACCTTCTGATTTCAACTCCTCAGAATTTTGTGTTTCATCAACATCTTTGGTTGCATCACCATTACTGAAGAAAGCGTGTATATCACTGCCTTCCTCCGTTTTCAATTCGACGCTAAATTCCGCGTCTTCCGACGAGACAAATTTCACTTGAAGAGTTCTATCAGCTGTAGCATTCTCAAATTCATTGGTAGTCTCTTCTGTCCAGACATTCAGACCATGCAAACGACACTTATACGACAATGGAGGAGTTTCTACATCAGCTTTAGAAGACTTTTTAATCCGATCTACAGACACTGTATCGGTATTCCCATAATCTACAAACCGGACAGTGACATCATCATCGTTAATGACTTCTACTCGTGCACGGTACCACATGTCATCATCTGTAAACTTCGCCACGCAGACGGATCCAATCTTTGTCTCTTTCAAAGAATTACTCGATTCCGAATAATTCTCTTGTAATTTTTCAGACAACTGTGTCAATTTTTCTTCTTCGCTTACCAGTTGTATATAGAAGACGCCGTCACCATCTGTATGGGACACGTAGCATTGGTCGGTTGATGGAGACTGGGCTGGATAATCGGAAATAACTTCACCTTCTTCCTCAACATCATCTGCTTCCTCACATACACTCAGATCAGCATCATCTTGCAAGACGTCTGCCAAACTCCTGGTAACAACCACCATATAAGGAGAAGATTTGGTAACAAACTCAATATTCAGCTCTTTACCTTCTGTCATAGCTGTAAATTTCTCTTGTTTTTTTTCTGTCCATTTTCCAGCATTGTTCAATTTACATTCGTAAGCCAATGCAGGATGATGGATAAATTTTTTCTCCATGAATTTAATATCATGGGATTCCACGAATGAGCAATTTCCAAAATCGCAAAACAGAACTTTTGTATTGCTATCATGTGTTTCTTCAACGATGGCTCGATACCACAAATTATCTTCAGGAAATTTGGCACAGCAGGGTTGTCCAATCTTTAAATCGTAAGCGACTTCTGCTTCATCTGAATTATAGTAGGCCTGTAAATCATGACTGATGTTATCGAGGACGTCGTCATTTTGGTTCAAATGAAGATAGAATCTCCCATCATCCTCGGTGTGGCTCACACATCCAAGTATTATTTTACTGGGCGCCATTTGTTGCAGGAAACTTTTCACATCTGCTCTCATTAGTATTCGGGATAATTCATGGCCATCACAAGTTAATTTAACCATATATGGACAAGTATCCGATTGAAAGTTGACTGTTATTTCTTTCTCCATGTAAGCGTCTAATAAATTTTTTGCGTCCTGAGTCCAATTATTCATTCCGTGGACTTTACAATGATAAGCATATGGTGGTACATCGAGTAATTCTTCTGGAAGTTCTTTCAGGTCGTTAACAGGAAGTGAATCTCCATTTCCAAAATCAACAAAATGGACATCAACCTTGGGCCCAACTTTCGTAACGATGGCTCGATACCAGGCTTTATCTTGAGAGAACAAGGCGGCGCAGGCATAACCCGAATTCAATCTCTCCGGAACTTCTTCAATCGGAAACTCTGCTATTTTATTGGAGAGTTCATCAATCTCTTCCGCATCTCTGGCTAGCTGTACGTGAATTGTATTATCTGAATCCACATGTGAAATAAAAGCTGCCACGTCTTCTGTTGGTAACACTGCCTTGGCGTAAACTCTTGGTCGAGGTGGATTCATCAGTAAATCTGCAATGTCTTTTCCACGTTTTGTTTTCGCCTCAACTTCAAACGGTTGGTCCTCGGACAGGAAGTTAAGAGTTATCTCATCTGTCATGTCATTCAAACGACCTTCAATATCGGCATTCCAATCGGTCAGATTTTTCATCTTGCAAGGAAAAGCCTGAATGGGATCCTTCATCATTGGAAGCGTACATTTTCTTAAATCTTTGGATTGGACCTCGTCGCAATTTCCATAATCAACGAATCGGACAGTGACCTTTGTTTCCTCGGCGGCTTCTACAGTACCACGATACCAGTTCTGATCCACTTTGAATTTGGCACAGCAAACGAGTCCTTTCTCTAGAGTAGTTTTGGACGAAAACTGAGCTGCTGTTTTTCCTTCTCTTTGCATCAATTTAGCCAAATTAATGATTTCTTGTTCCATATTTGACAACTGGACATAAAAGACTCCATCTGAGTCAATGTGTGTTATGAAAGCCTTCATCTCATTGGCTGGTTTATTTGGATATGTATATTGCTTAGGAACAGGTGGTGCGCTGATTCTTTTTGCCAAGTCTGCGTCAACAAGTTTATCTCCCAATTCTTCCCCGTCAATCGTGATAATAACGGAGGCTGCCGAAATAAAACCACACGTCAATTCTCGATCTAACGCTAGAGACTCTAACATACTTGTTGCTTCTGCTGACCAATCAGGACCAGGTTGAGGAGCTAAATCATCCAATGAGCATTCGATTCCGAATGGGGGAATGTCTGTAACATCTGGTGGTAGAAAACGTAGGCCATCTTTTTCAATATTTTCTGAGTTTCCATAATCTACAAATAACACTTTGACCTCTGACCCTTGACAGTTCATGACCTTTGCCCTATACCACTCTCCATCTTCTGCAAACAACGCCGTGCAGCCATCTCCGGGACAAACGTCTGGAACGGATTCATTGGTAGAACAGAAGTCTTGTAATTTTTTCGATATTTCTGCAAGTTGGTCATCAATGCCGGCTAATTGGAGGTAGAGTTTGCCTGGGGACACAATAAAACTGGTGTAGGCTGGGACGGGTTTCACTCCCACGGGGACCTTAGTGGGCTTAAACTGACATGGTGTAAGGGGGATAACTGGAGCACGAGGTATATCAGCAGGGGAAGCGGACAACAACATTGCTGTAATGGACTGTGATTCATCGATTATATCTATGGTATGAATGTCCCCGTTTACAGACAAAACATTTATCATTAATTCTTTTTCAACGACCATGTCATTTAATTTATCGGCCAATTCCGTTCCTGTATTTTCTATGTCCAGTTTACAGTGAATGGCCTGAGTTGGGAATGATAAAAATTCTTCTTTTAAAACACAAATGTCGTCTGCACTAACCGTATCATAGTTTCCGTAATCAACAAAACATATACGAATATTATTACCATCGCAACTCAATATTTCTGCTCGATACCAGGCACCATCTTCGTTGAATTTAGCAGCACACGGTGATCCTGGCTTAGGGGTTATTCTTTGTCCTTGACCTTCAGAATAAGCGACTTCTAGCTGTTCCATGATCTGATCCAAATTGTCAAGAAAATGAGACAACTGACAGAAAAAACTGTCCACAGCGTCCACATGAGAAACGTAAATTTTACCCGAATCGTTTGGAGATAGCTTTACAGCATTTGGAAATCCCGATTTGTATTGTCCACCTGAATTTGATTGGTTGGTATTCGGTCGTGCCACCCCAGCCTTAACAAGTTTTTCTTCTATATTTTCGTCACCCTTATAAATTTCAACAATTACAGCATTCTTATCTTGGCGAATAAAGTGGCACATAGCTCCATCTACGGTGAATTCCTCTAAAAAATCTTTGGCATCAACGATCCATGAATTGGAAGATTGCACTGGTCGAATTTTATCTAATCTACAATGAAGAGCATATGATGGTATTTCCAAGTATTCTTGCGGAACTTTGATTAATGCCGCGATTGGAAGCGTGTCTGTGTTGCCGTAATCTGTGAAGAGAATAATGGCCGTGCTTCCTGTTAATGATTGAACAACACCGCGATACCAGGATTCATCTTCAGAATATTTCGCAAGCACTGGAACTCCTGGCTGAACATTTGTGGCAACAACTCCATTTTCGTCACAGTAAGTCTGCAGACTCTCCGTCATTTCTTCTAATGAATCGTGTTTTTCTGAAAGTTGAATCCAAAAACTATTGGGACTTTCTGCCCAGGAGACGAAAACCGAACTTTTAGACGGAAAGCTAATTTCTATGTCACCATAGGGATTTACACTTTGATTTAAGGAAGAAGGCAGAACCAAGTTCGTTTTTATGAGTTTCTCACCAATGTCTGAACCTTCAACTGAATCAATAAGGTTTACAATATAAATTTGACCTTCCCTACCTATGATTTTAATTTCCATTTCTCGATCATATATCCATTTCTCGAACTCGTCAATAACCTTGCTACTCCAACTGTTGTCTAAAGGACAAACGTTGCCTAACATACATTCAACAGCCTGACTCGGTAAATCATGCAAATCTGGTGCAAGTTCTTTTAATAAATTTAACGAAACAGTCTCAGAGTTTCCATAATCTACAAAAAAGACGTCAGCACTTTGGGAATCGGACGAAGTTACAATGGCGCGATACCACAAATCATCTTCAGTAAATTTAGCAGCACAAATTGTTCCTGGTATGGGACTGCGTAAGAGATGTGCATTTTCTGGCATTTTCTCATAGGTGGCGCTCAGTCTCTCCACAATAACTTGTAAACTATCGGCATTCTGGGCAGGTTGACACCAAAATTGAGATGGTGACACCGAAAAGATGATACTAACGTCATACAATTTGCCTATGGATAATTCTAAAACGCGAAATCGTGAGTCATTATCTCCTGCACAGTTCACTGTGTTGTCACTTGTGTTGCCCTTGGAAACAGTTACCTGTAGCTTGTCGCCTGAATTGTCCATACGAATTTGTCGTTTCATATCAAGAACTGTGTCTTCCTCCACACACATGCTGTTAGTCTTTACTCCAAATGTTTCGTTGATAAATTCTCCGTCCTCACTAATCAACTTGATAAGATATATCTGATCATCCTTATGTTTGGTTTTAAAACAAGCCGTGAAACACTGATCAAGGGCAATATCTTCAAACTGGGCCGTGTGCTCAGGGGGCCAGAATCCCTGTAGAGGTGAAACACCAGCTAGAGCGCATGTCAGGGCCTGGGCTGGAAGATCCAGTAGATCTGGAGCTATTGATTTGACTTTCGTCGCAGCGACTATTTCCGTATTACCATAATCCACAAAAAATACTTCCACTAGGTTATCAGCCGTTAACCCTGAAAATATCAGAAAAAACTTTTAAACAAATCTTCTATTTAAAATTACTTGGAATGGTAAGGAGATAGAAATTGACTTTTACGTCGATTTGACACAAACTAGGTCATTTCAGGACTGATAAACATTGTACACTTTCACTTCAATAATGAGAAGAAAACCTTAGGAATTGTGGGGTGGGAACAACACTTTCAACAACAAATCTGCTAATTGCAGACTCTTTAGGAGATTGTTCTATTGAAAGAGAGGGGTTGTTGGGTGGCCGAATGGTTAACGCATGCACGTTGGATCAGAAGATCTGTCATTGAGTACGGTGGCGTGGTTTCAATTCCACGAATGGGGTCGCCAGTCCAACATCATGGGTTTTCTTCGGTTCCTCCCCTCCCCCACTGCTAATGACCCCTACCCTTACGCACAAGCAAATAATTGAAATAAAATTAAAACAAATGTTGGTCCCGAAATGACCTAGTTTGTGTCGAGTGGACTTTATACCCCATGTCCCTCTCTATTGAATGAGTCAGTGGTGTGCTTGAACATCCGACACGCATGATCATTCAATAGATCTTGTGATTTCAACGGCCAATTGTACGTCCCTTGTTGAAATAAACTGGTGTTTGACATCCTACATTTCTAAACGACAGGCCGTATTATTTTATTTCACAAACCCTGGGAAAAGCATAAAGACAAACCTGTAATTTTAGCTCTGTACCAATTTTCATCCTCATCAAATTTTGCAACACACGCTTGGCCTACAGCAAATGACTTCATTGCCATCTCGCCTTCTTGAAGATTACCATAGCGACCAAAAATGTCGTCCATTAAGCTATTTAGTATTTCTGTACACGAGTCGAGCTGTACTTGGAAATGTTGTGGACTTGCGATATGAGTCACATGAATTTTCATCAATGCACCGAGACTGATGTCCTGATCTTTAAATGGCGCTGATAAACTCTTGTTTCTAGCACTCATGGTATTTACCCCGGCCCCACCAACACCATTTGGCCTACAAAAATGAAATGAAAATAAATTGGGAGTTTAAACATCCTACTGTTCTGCTCCGACTGAGCTAACAGAGATGAGCCTACGCCATGCAGTGTGCTAGGAGGGAAATTTTGCCCCGGACAGCGGCACTACTGCTTACTTGCCGAGGACATGTTCTACCTGTGATATATGTTACCTTGCTCCGTCAGAAATTGTACTTTAAGCCAACACAAACTGAACAGATCTGCTACATGTTAATGAACTGAAATGAAATGGGGTTTAACGTCCTACTGTTCTGCTCCTATACTGGGCTAATGAAGACGGACATACGCCATACAGTGTACTATGAGGGAAATTTTGCCCGGGCAGCGGCACTATCGCCTACTCTTATATCGAATTCCAACTGCCAAGTGATCTTTTATGTGCATTCTAATGTATACACGGGACCTAGGTTTAGACAGCTGTCCTTGTCAGGCCCTCCGTTCTGCACCACTGACAAGGGGAAACCACGTTGGAAAATCCAGATGAACTTTCTTGGCCAATGCAGGGATCGAACACCCGACCTCCAGGCTAGCGAGCCAGCGTCTTAACCACCTAGTCACCGTGGCTCCGCTACATGTTAATACACGTACCCACAAGTAAAATACTAAATTATTGAAATAAAATTAAGATATATGTTAGTCCCGAAATTATCTTGCTTGTGCAGAGTGGACATTAATATCTCTCTCTCTCCACAATTTCTGTATTTAGCTCAGTTTGTGAGATAGGCGACTCTAGATGAATTTTACAGGGGAAGACAACTCATGACTTTTAAAGACCCAGGTAAACTGATCGTTCTCAATTTATTTTAATTACTTTATACTTTAAGAACAGGGCCCTTATTCACGAAAACTTAAAACTAAGATACAATCGAAATTTTAAGAAATACTGCAATTCGATTGGCTGACCAGTAAAATCAATTTGCATATATCCAATGAAGTTGCAGTATTTCTTAAAATTTCGGTTGTAAATTAGTTTAAGTTTTCGTGAATAAGGGCCCAGAACCGGGATAACCCAACGGTCATCTTATTTCTACTTACCTTTGACTGTACATTTTTAATTAATAATACACATAATATTGACAATAATATTGATGGGAGATAACTCTAGCCACAATCAAGAATATTACATTCTAATCTGTTACAGATGAAATCTGGAAAGTAAAGAAAAAAAATACAAATTATTTTATAAATCAAGAATGCTTTTAAAGCGATAATTTCATATTTTAAAGGGTTTTTTTTAAAATTTATTAAAATAAAGTCTTAAAATAGATGGTATCCATAAACAGTTCTACCTTGTTAAAGAATAATCCTATTAATCTTATAATTCACTATTGCCAGTTGAGAAATTGGCAAAAATATCATTTTCAACTTCAAATACAAACGTTTGAACATAGCTATTCCATGGAGGTAATAGGAAAACAAGGGAGGTAATTGTGTTATTATTTCCTGTGTCAATGATTTTTAAGGGTGGGAAATAATGCCCATGATCGTATAATAGTGAGTTGATAACCTATTGAGCAAAAGACATAGAAATAATTATGTTTTGACTTTCTTAGAAAATATGAAATTCTCGCTTTCAGAGGCCATTTTGTTTTTCACTGGTTTAGCAGGTCTGAAAACAAAAGCAACAGGTACAGTTGTAGCTTTTTTTCATAGTCATTTGAGATCCTACAGCCTGAAAGGCCAAACCAATTCAATTCTCTGTTCTTGTTGATAATTTGATAAATAAATTGTCACTTCAATTTGTTTCAAATTTCAGAACTTAAACAATTTGGAACTAAATGCTTTTGAACAGCGCAAACAAGTACTTTTGGTTTTTAGATTAGTTTATTCCCCAAACAAATAAGAAGCAAACCTTTAAGGTGTTCCGTTCCAACAAAAGACCAAATTGGAGTTGCCCTACCTAAGAGAGAAATGGGCTATAATGTCTTCTCGACACAAACTAGGTCATTTCGGGACTAATATATGGTTTAATCTTATTTCAATAATTCGCTTGCCTGTAGGGGTCTTTAGCAGTGGGAGGAAACCGGAGAACCTGGGAAAAACCCACGAGGTTGGACAGACAACCCTACTTGTCACGTACAACCGGGGAATCGACCATATCCAAGAGAAACCACATTCCATCCCAATAGGTATGCAAATACCAATAACATTAACCCACAGAAGTGAGGATGTGTGAGAGCGGGGGAAGAGATATCAATTTGGATACAAATACGCGTCATACGATTAATTGAACATTAAAGGTTTTTTTTCTTTAATCAAAATTAACTTCATTAGGAGCAACGGTAGCTCGGTGAGTAAGCAGCGAGCACCACAGAAGTTTTGGGAGAATGTCTCTCACTAACCTACAGCTGTGTGCAATACCGGCATCGGAGTTGGCCGGGAAAGGTCCTCAAGATTTTAGGACATTGGTTTCCCCATGTCATCGGTGCAGGATGGGAGGGACAGCAGAAAGACAACTTATCCCAATAACAGACAACTCATATCCCGAGATAGAAGATCATTCAATAGTTGTATTTGTTTTAATACAATTGTTTACTATAAAGACCACTAGGGCCAATCTGATTTTCAAATAAAAAAGTGTTGTTTTAATAAAATTGATTTTGTTGTCATAATAAAATTGATTTTGTTGTCATAATAAAATTGATTTTGTTGTGATTTTGTCCTAATAAAATTGATTTTGTTGTGATTTTGTCCTAATAAAATTGATTTTGTTGTCCTAATTTAAATTGATTTTGTTGTCCTAATAAAATTGATTTTGTTGTCATAATAAAATTGATTATGTTTTAATAAAATTGATTTTGTTTTAATAAAATTGATTTTGTTGTCATAATAAAATTGATCTTGTTGTCATAATAAAATTGATTTTGTTCTCATAATAAAATTGATTTTGTTCTCATAATAAAATTGATTATGTTTTAATAAAATTGATTATGTTTTAATAAAATTGATTTTGTTTTAAAGGCTCAATACCACTCTTGTTGTAACTGAATAATATGCCCCAATCTTTATTCTGGTCAACAAATTGTACTATTTTAGAATATTTCAATTAATTGTCAATTGATGATACAAATTTCATCTTAACACACCTTATTTAAAAATTTTGAAAAATTCAACATAATGGTTTGAAACGTCTAACATAAACCTTTTCAAATGAAACCTCGATTTAAAAATATTTTCGAACCCTCTGGACAAGTAAAATAGGGTGTAATGGATAATTTACACAACAGTTAGGACATTTAAACATCTGGTACTTAAATAGAGATATTATTTATTTTCTGGAGCTTTCAAGCCAGCAAGAGTGTTATTGTCCCATTAATAAAATTGATTTTGTTGTCATAATAAAATTGATCTTGTTGTAATAATAAAATTGATTTTGTTGTCATAATAAAATTGATTATGTTTTAATAAAATTGATAGTTGTGTTTGTTTTAATAAATTGATAGTTGTGTTTGTTTCAATATTTTATTACATTGTTGTTTTAATAAACTGATACAATTTCCAGATTTATTTGATATATTGGGTTTGGCGACCAGACTGAAGGGGGAACCACGTCGGGAAATTTACTTTCTCAGCCAACACAGGGATTGAACAAAGGACCTCCGGGTTAGCGAGCCAATGCTTACTCACTGAGCCACTGTGGCCCCTAAGCTATCCCAGTTCACAGTTGGAATTTGAAATAAAGAGTATGCTAGGCAGTAGACACTGTAGTTAGTAGACGTTCAACCTCAGCTCATTTCATTTGTCACGGAACGGGAAAGGAAAAAGTTTTCTTAGAGTTCAGTGAAGTCACAAGTCATGCTTACAATATATATATAGTATATAGTGAAATTAGTCAGTTTCGTCGTATCAATAATGTGTGTCCTGTTTATGCCAAATTATGGTTGGACTTAGCAATGAAAAAGTGATGTGTCACTTGAAACGAATCCTAGCGTATTCATTACCAGGCTAATTCATTACCGGTAAAATCAGCGTATTCATGACCAGTATATTATAGGGTTGATTGGTCGGTATATAAAGGTGCTAATTAGTACTCATCAGTGCCAATGTCTATGGGTGTTAATTAATCAATTAAGACAAGACAATAGAAGGATTAACAAGGTATTTATTATATATTTTAAATAGTCATAATACAAACAACAGTTGAAATATTTCATATTCGAAGGAGCTTTTACGGGTTTCCATTTTGACGTCATTTTCGGTCATGCGCAGACATTGGCCTTATTCTTAGACTGAAACCCATAGGCCAATCAGTGTGTGTTTTTTTGTGAAAATACCGTCGTACAGTAAGCTTCTTTTACATAAAATGGAACTGAATGCCATTTCTATATACTCGTAAGGTTTACCGACCGACGGCAGAAAGCGATATTTACAAAAACTTCGATATAGGAAAGATACGGCAAGTTTACCAGACCCGTAATTGGCCGTTTGGAATTGAAACAAGTGGATGACTGATCCGTGCTCAATGGCCCGAACTAAAATTAAGCGAAGTTTATTACGCCCTTTATGGTCAAACAGATGTTATATATTAATTACGGGACTATTAACACAAAAGATTTATAAAAATGGTCTATCCTATTTACATTCAACTGCCGATTGGACAGTTTTTTGCGAGGTTGATATATCGTCTGCTAGAGCTATAGCACTGCATGCCACAACCCTACGTACTTGACACAAAACACTGTACTATGTTGGTCTTTGTTTGAGGCTGTCGACTTGAAAATAATTCCAGCTAATAATACTATAAATAGTATGCAATATGCAAATAAGATTGTTTATGCATGCGTGCTGTTAGCCAATTAATAGCTATTGTAAATTTCCACGCGTTTTGACGGCTCTTACCAATGATAAAATAGTTGTTTGGTGCACGGGGTAAAACTTCAGCCATTTTTATAAATTTTTCTCTTGATTGATGGGATATGAATAACAGAAAGAATAAAACGACGATCAAGTTGAATCTGTGAATATTTTTTAAAACGTTTTTTTTCTCTGTTAATTGTAGTCACATAAATCGTCTTGGCTCAGCTTTTGGCACTCAGTGAAATTTTAATCCAATCAGTTTATCTTGCCGCAACCAAGAAGAAGAACGATACATTTTATCAATTTCTAATTCAGTATTTGGTTCAGAGAACAACTGTTGAATGAAAATATGTAACTGGACTCGGTGCATTCTATACATCGTGATTATTATTTGTTCTCTTTATTATTAGATGTGCTACGTCGTGCTTAAATTTTAATATCGTCTTGAATAATTCTTTTGTGGAACCGCAGGTCACCATCTCTAATTACCCATTCTATAATTTACTCTTATGCTAGGATGACCCATGTACTCACAGAAATACAGTCCACCGCTGATAGTTCGAGACTACCACTGAAGCGCGCACATTCGCCGTGCCGAGACCAACTTACTGACAGTGTGATACTATAAATAGCCATGGCACGTGCAATTCTCTACAAATCTATTAACTATTACAGCCGTAAAAAAATTATTGTTGACGATTTTGAATAGCAGTGAAATTAAGCTTCTTGGTTATTACAGCAGATTGAGTAATTACGTTCGTTTCATTTTTTAAATCGCTTTATCTTTAACTGTACCGTTAAGAGCGGCATCTTTTGGTTTAGTACAAATAATATCTCTGAATCACTCGGGTTAGACAGGAACATGATACTAGCAGTAGTTTCATTTAACTTTTACAAGCTTCTTAAAACGATTGTTGAGCTACCTAACGTGCTTATTTCTAAATTCAATTTCTTGTTCTAGCTTTCTGTTATGTTTCGTAAAAAAGTAGTCTTGATTATCCCGACCTGTCAATCAGACGTAGAATGGTCGATAGACTGGTTAAGCGAGACTTATTTCAAAACAAGGGCACGTAACCTATCTTTTACTCAAAAGTGTCTGGATGTTATGGACGACTCTTGGAAGCAGTTTTCAGTCTATTATTTATACATGATTAATGGTCATAGCTTATTAAGTACAACATGATCGTTTATTTAGTGACTATAATTGTGTGAAACTGATTTGAGGCTTGGCATATATATACATATTGTGGCGTAATTGTCGAGATATATGGAGATATTTATTTATGGTGGGTCACCCTACTTATGCTCTATTTCATGGCATTTATATACCGACCAATCAACCCTATGCTATAATATACTGGTCATGAATACGCCGATTTTACCGATAATGAATACGCCTGATACCCTTGAAACGCGGTTTGCCTTGTAAACCTTCAGTACTAGTGTTACGCAAAATAAACAAACCCACACTCATTTCCACTGAAAAAACACTTTCCTGACATCGTAATTAATCAATACTGTTTCCCGCGCTTCCTCAGACAGCCCCACCAGCGACTTGGACATGTCAAAAGAATTCAATTCAATTGTCATGTTATTACGAAGTTGGTGTATAGTTTTTGTTCGGCCAAAAGAAAGGACTCGCGTGCCACTAAAATCCCGTATTGCTTAATTAGAATGTTATTCATGAATCCAGGCGTGTTGTCCAAAAGATTATTCTTATTTCTCAGACTTACCAATTCCAATAACATTTTGTACCCATGTGGCAACAATTATCCAATGCGCATGCGTATGAACCAGAGGTACACGGACACAGATCACTAAAGATTTCCCCATTGACTCCAATGTTAATTCTCGTATCTTAGACCGGCTCTAACTTTTTCCCAAATTTTCGTTGGGTTGAACGCTTTCTACCACAGATGGAGCAACATGTGGCAACCACTTGCCCAAAAGCACGTATGAGGTTCTTCATGAAAAACTTGAGATACACAAGCTGGAAGTAGAGACAAGTAAACATGCAATTTCAGGCCCTACATTTCAACCTAACCAACCTCTCAACTCTTGTATCCTTCCGCATCAAAATTATGAATATTCACCAAAACCTGGCAGAAAATGTATTTTCAAACCCTTTTCCTCGATTCTACACCAAAAAGTCAACAAAAATCGCCATGCAAAAGGAGGAAAAAGGGAGAGGAAGACTAAAATAGCTTTGGCCCTTGTTTCGTAGGAATATTTGGTGATCTGTGTCCACACGACTTGGAAGACTCGGTCATCCAGATATAACGTCTTTAAAATAAGCTAAGATAAAATGATATAAATTATGATAATTGTTTAGATATGTAACAATTGTCGTCTTGCCGTAGTGTTGCGATTAAATGAATGCATAGTCAAGTATAGACCGTATGACTTTCTAGAGGGGGTATCTATTGGGAGCATCAATTGTTTACATTCTATGGTTACCTAATTATATTTTATATCCAAAGTATAGATATGTTTATTGGTATATTCTATATATTAGATTAAATATTAAATACGTACATAATTATTCAGTTAATCAAATTATGATTATAAATATTTGGTTCGAATTTGTATGTGTACTTTATTAGTTACTCCTATAAATCGTGGTCTTTCGTCTGGGATCAAGCATGGCAGCCAAATTTGTGCGTTGCGGAAAGGGGTGAAGTCAAAAAGGTATTGTGTTATAAACATATATTTTTGGTTGTAATTATCAGTTAATATGTCCATCACATAACTAAGTATATGTCAGTATTCTTATTTGATATGTATAATTGCGTTTTGGGTTTGAAATCTTGTGTATTTATTAGCTGTCATGCAGGCACTGTCAAACGCCGTTTCCTAGCTAACAATATTACGTAGTTTGTACGTTGTGCTATAGTTATTATCGTATATCAATTAGTACCGTTTAGTAATTCTGTTAACTTTTGTTATTTCAGTTTTCACATATGTGTATGTGTGTGTATATTCAACTTGATATTCATCATATAATCAACTTAGAATTGTCTGTCAACTAAATGATGATATAAAGAGAATTCATTGAACCCTAAAACTTGTATGTTGAATTTGTTGATTATTCCGGTACACATTTAGTAAAAGGCTTGCGCCTTAATCCCAGAAGATTGCGCAGAGCATCACACCTCTGTTCATTTGTGTTTGGCTGCCTGCGTAACGAGGTGTGCTGTTACAAGATATAATACAAAATGAAATATAGGGTTTAACATCCTACTGTTCTGCTCCGACTGGGATAATGAAGGCGGGCATAAGCTAGGTCATTTCCGGACTACCATAAGATCGTTTATATACTATTCAAAAAAAGTAGGGGATATTTGATTTTTAAGTGTTATTAAAGTCACCTAATGAAACTGACGAAGAAACAAATGACAAAATGAAATGAAGTTCACATTCATCGATTTATTCCAAATGATCGTTAGACACAGACTGACCATTATAAGGGTAAAATGATACCCGGGGTCAAACAGCAAAGTTACCACAGCATCACAACCAAGTCAGTAACGGGTAAATCCTCCTCTGTTTGCCAAACAAGCATTGATCCGACGTGGCATACTCCTAATGAGACGTCTAAGGTCATTTTGGTCCAGATTGTCCCATTCCTGTTTCAACGCAGCAGCAAGTTCTTGGACATTGGCAGGACGTTGTTGACGTAACCTCTGTCCAAGCATGTCCCAGACATGCTCGATGGGGGAGAGGTCGGGACTCAGTGCTGGCCAAGGTAATGTGGTGATGTTCTGTTGTTGGAGGTAACCTGTAACGATCCTGGCCCTGTGACATCTTGCGTTGTCATCCTGGAAGATGAAACGGCGGCCATGACGTCGTGCGAACGGCACAACATGGACTGCCAAGATGTTGTCCCGGTAGTACTGGCCTGTAACACGCCCTGCAACAACATGTAAAGCCGTTCTTCCAGCAACAGTGATGCCTCCCCACACCATAACAGAACCACCCCCAAATCGATCATGTCTGATGACGTTAACGTCTTGGAAGCGCTCGTTTCGACGACGCCACACCCTCCTACGTCTGTCCAAAAAATCAACAGTGAACCTTGACTCATCTGAAAACATCACATTGCTCCAGCGTCGATTATCCCAGTGTTGACGATCCCTACACCAACGACGTCTTGCCTGAATGTGATGATCTCTCAAACAAGGGATCACGCGAGGACGTCGGGCGCGAAGGTGACCCCTATGCAGTCGATTCCGAATCGTCTGGCCACTCACTCTCACACCAGTGTCTGTTTGAAGACGAGCGCTGATCTGATTTGCTGTGATGACACGATTTCTCAAGGCCAAGGTACGGATAAATCGATCCTGGGCTTGAGTTGTCGCCCTTGGTCGACCTGAGCGTGGTCTGTCCTGTACTGATTGTGTATCACGGTATCTGGACCATAGCCTGCTTATGAGAGACTGAGAAACAATCATCGTCCGCGCCACAACCGCCTGTGTTGTGCCGATCTGTAGCATGCCAAGGGCACGTAACCTTTCATTTTGGGTAAGTCGACGCATATCAAAATTTGTTTTCTGGTCACTAAAACAATTAAACTGATGTTTCCACCCTGGAATTCAATGCCACAATGACTGTAACATTCAAAGTCAGAGTCGTGCAAATCTTGGGTTGGACCCCCATGATGATCCCAAGCATCACCTGCATTCCATGCGGTAGCTATTGGTGCGTTTGGGCGTCACATGTAACTGGAAATGTTTCTTCTGTTAGGTTCTATAGTGACTTTTTTCGTAGTCATTTGCATATTTTAGTATTATGCCCCCAAAATCAAATATCCCCTACTTTTTTTGAATAGTATATTTTAATGTAGGCTAGGCTAATATAATGAATACCAAATAAATATGTGTGTAGAGTTTAGAATTCATTTCTTAACAAACTGGAAAAAAAAAAAATGAAAGAAGAAAAGAACTGTTTGGATTAATTGTATTCCAAGAATGAAATTTTGATGAATAGGAAGTTTTCCAACAATTTAAAATTTTGATGCCGAATAAAAATATAGAAATTTTAAAATGCTTAAGATCTTTTGTATATCTTTCGTTCATGCCATTCATTATAAGTTTTCTATCTGTATACTTATGTACATGTATGTAGATTTTGTTATGGCCTGACAAGGACCGCTGTCTAGTCGTTCGGATGCTACGAAAAGTCGAGGTCCCGTGTAGATTGGCGTGCACGTAAAAGATCCCTTGGCAGTTGGAATTCGATAAAAGAGTAGGCCATAGTACCGCTATCCGGGCAAAATTTCCCTCATAGCACACTGTATGGCGTAATGCCCGTCTTCATTATGACATTAGCCCAGTTCGGAGCAAAACAGTAGGATGTTAAACCCCCAAACTATCTATGTATACTTATGTACAAATGTTTTTAGATTTTATTATTCATATAAATATGTATATAACCTAGGTTTTTTATGCAATAAAGTTTCTTTTTACAGAAAGGAGAGTTATTGCCTTTCTCATCAGAAAGTGTACCGAATATACAATATACGGTAATGGATATTAATTTAGTTTGCTGTAAATAACAATAGGCGATCCAGGATTTATAAATGCGAAATAATTTGTTAACTTGCCAAATAAATGGGAAATGGAATTAGGTATTCCAAAAAATGTTACATAATGCTTAGTATTTCGTTTCTGAAATGAAATAAAATGGCATTTAACTTCCTACTTTTTGCGACTAGGATCACGAAAGCGGACAAGCCATTACAGGGCCTCTTTTTTGTCCCACTGGAATGACTAGACGCTGTGTACTTTTTAGGCGTCTTAAAACCCGAAATTTTCAAAGACTAACTTTTTCCTGCAGACCCCCCCCTCCATTTCTATCGTGGCATCATGTTTTTATACCCGTGTGTTATTGCGATAACTGGCATTAAACTGGAAAACACACGTTTTTGAAGTTTATAGGCGCACATGTATAGGTTAACGACCTGGCTTGCCGTCTCTTTAATGTATCGTCAGAGCTCACTGAAATAAATTGAAATAGGGTTTAACGTTCAACTGTTATGCTTCGACTAGACTATATATAACGAAAACGGGAAAATGAAATGGTGTTTAACTTCTTACTGTTCTGTGCCAACTGATGGGCTAATGAAAACGGGTAGCGATGGGCGTAGGAGAAATTTGATCAAAATGGTTATTTCCCGCAGTTGCCGGCGTGATTTCCCCTTGTCAGTAATGCAGGATGGAGAGCCTGGCAAACAGGACAGTGTCTAGTGCGTCGGATGAGATAAAAAAAAACAAAATCCTGTGTACACATTGGCGGGAACGTTATAAAAGAACATTTCACAAAGATGGAGTTCAAAATAAGAGTATATTACAGGCCATGGATTGTACCCATCTTCATTAGTTCAGTCGGAGCAGATCAGTTGGACATTAAAGCCCATTTTACTCATCCACCCGTATCTCTGTTAGCTTTCTGATCATTTGGGACGCATTATCGTTACTTCTTTGCCTATTTTCCGACGTGGTTTCCCCTTGTCAGTGGTGCAGAACGGAGGGTCTGACAAGGACAGCTGTCTAGTCCGTCGGATGAGACGAAAACCGAAGTCCCGTGTATACATTGGAATGCACGTAAAAGATCCCTTGGCAGTTGGAATTCGATATAAGAGTAGGCGATAGTGCCGGTGCCCGGGCAAAATTTCCCTCATAGCACACTGTATGGCGTATGCCCGTCTTCATTAGCCCAGCATAGGAGCAGAACAGTAGGACGTTAAACCCCATTTCATTTCATTTCATTTACTTCT